AATGTCATTTCGGGAGACTCATCGAAACCCAGCTACTCTTCGAATCTATTCTCTATCAACATAGTCTCGCCCTAATGCCAACATGAAAAGAGGCAGCCCAAAGTAGAGCTGCGACAAGATAAGTTTTGGCCCGGGGAAAAGGGTATCGTATCAAATTGCATAAAATCATACTTGCCAAACGACATCAAGGCAGGTGTGTGGGTGCCATGCAAATGTAACTTGCCTCATGATGGACGCCGGCAACGCTGAATTAGGTCCTCGTGGATCCGCATGTAGCCGCCTGGTAGCTCGTATAAATAGGCGGACGTGGATACGCCGAATCCGCGAGTTCTCGCACTTTCGTTGCGTCTACGCAACGCTCTCTTGCCTCGTGCCTGGCCATGCGGCTCCGTAACTGCCCGTTTGTCCCTCGCGTCACCTGCCGCCTGTCCGTGCCCCATTTCCGCCGGCAAATCATACACTTGTATGCCCTCACCGTCCTACACTTTTCACACTCAACTTACGCTTCCCTGCCTCCTCCGCACTCTCTGTCTCCTCCTTCCTGTCAGCCGATTTCTCTGCCACTCCTTGGCTCCTGATTGCCCTTGGCTTCATCTCTTCACGTAGCATCTTCCTTTCTGTTCTGATGCTGGTTGCTGGTTGCTGGTTGCTGGTTGCTGGTGGCTGGTTGCTGGTTGCTGGTGGCTGGTTGCTGGTGGCTGGCCGTCCACTCGGCTCGTCTTCATCATGCTCTATTTGGCCTATTGGCACAAGTCTCCTTCTCCCCAACTCATCTATCCCCATCGTGTGTCTGCTTGTGTGTCTGTGTGCGAGTGTGCCTGCATGTGCATGTGCATATGCATGTGCGTGTCCACCCCCTCAACAGTGGAAGAGTAAGTCGAGACGTGCAGCCAACATGTTTCATGTATTCGAATCCTGGCCGGCCTGCAACGGTACCAAAAAGAACTCGGTTGAACTGTCAATCGGGGAAATGTGGAGTGTATGATGAAATTGAGCCAGTCGACGTTGGGGAAACGTATGGCTGGACAGGCCGCACTTGACTCCGTGTACGAGGCTGAATAATGAGCAATAAAAGCCATAATCCTTGGCAGGAGTCGAGGGAATTTCGCTTCTATCCGAGTCTTATCAGAAGCCCTAGTCGAGACTCGGGCTCAGGACACGAGCAGATAAGACGTGACGGGAAGCTTATGAAGCGCAGTTGGCCAATGGCATTTTTTATCGTGTTCGTTCGACCTTGTTTTCGCCACTTGGTCGGAGCGTCAGGGAGACCTGGTGGAAGGTACCTGGTGCCGCGTCGTTTGCCAGAGTATTCGTGGTGTCTCGCTTCGAACCATTGACTTGGTACATTCCCAGACGTTTCGCCGGCATCGCCAACAAGAGGCGCCATTGCAAGCTCAGAGTTGCAACTTATCAAATTGACGAGGCAAGGCAATCCGCTTGACTAATTTTCCGTTCAACCGTTGCGGCATCTCTTCTCGCCCCCCCTTTTACTTCTACCTTCTCGTGCCACATCCCCTTTTCTCAACCCCACTTCCTATGGTTCATTCGCCCCGACAAAGTCGAACCAACCCTATTGAGCCAAAGGTGACTGCGTCCAAATAGAAAGCAACACCAGTTTCGTCTTCACATCTACCAACAATAACTTTAACTTTAGTCTTGAATGGTGCAGGAGTGGGATTCGTAGAGTGTCTGCACTAAAAACCGAATAAGTACTCGACAATCGGTCCTTCATTCCTTCCGTGGTCTGGGATGAGTTCAATTGTAATGGGAAAGCTACTGGTCTTCGTATCTTTTAATGGCATTTTGTGTCATTCAGACGAGAATGCAATCTGCTTCATGCTCGTTTGACCAACTGGCAGATTCGGAAAGTCGAAGAGACCAACAAATTAGCTTCACTCTTAAGCCAACAAGATTGATGCTGGCGACATTCAGCTACGAGCATCATCAAGTTTCACACTTTACTCGCTGGCGTATTTTTGCTTACATCCAACTTGTCCTCGATATCGAAGTGGTGAGGTACCCACGTAGAGAGAGCACATTGGGTCCATGTCCTGTGATATCTTCCTCTCGGGAAGGGGGCAGATATAAGACTTTTTAAGATACAGCAACTTGGTCATCCTCATCCAATCGGCTGTGGTTTGGGTACAACGCGGCTGTTGTTGTGCCCTGTACCTGATCACCGGCCTTGACCAGAGAGATGAGGATGGGATTGCTCGATTGCGTCTGTTTCCCTGCCTCTAATCACTCCATTACGAGTGAATGCGAACTGACCTCATAGACGAAAAGAGGCCTATTTTGCCCAAAGTGTTCTTCTGATACACTCCTTCAGCTGTACACCCGATTGCATCCCCTTTTTATTCTTCTGCCAAACGCGGTCTGCCTACTCCAAGCACCATTAGCGTTTATTTCAGATGAATTCACCCAATTCCGTTTAGGCTGATGCAAAGCTGGTAATTCCATTTTCTCCCAACGAAATAAGCTTTGTTTCTATATAGGTTTTCTACAGCAGGCCGGATAAGATTGCAGTTTCGACCTCGCCTCAATTCGTTCCATCAGTACAAATGGCGGGACTCGAACTAGGGTAGTGGTAGTGCAAGTATAACGTAGACACGTTCATCATTACGCCACGCAGACACGAGCAGACGTTAATTTCACGGAAGACCTGGCTTTTCGCAAATCACTTTCTGTGATGCTATTGCATTCGTAATAGCAATCGACCATATTATTAATCTTTTGTTTATAAGTAGCTTTCGATATTCATTTATATATATATATTTTTTTATTTATTTATTTGAGAACTTCTGATGATCTCGAAATGACGAATACATTTTACATTATGTGGCGTTTTATAAGCATGTTTTAGAGTCTACCAATAGATCATGAGGTGAGGTATAAACTGCATCCCATTCTAGCCTGGATGAGAATATCTTTTGGGGAGGCAATTCTGTGGGAAATTCAATTCACAAAATTGTGGGAAAATTCAACTGCTAGTCCTCTTGTCACCTTAGCATAACTATGGTAAATACGTTTCATACATTTGACGTTGTTTTTAAGCTCATATTACGCCTCGGTCAGTGTCGCATGAAACACGAGACTGGACAGCATGACACAACGCGAGGAGTGACATCCTCCGGACGGTTGCTACGCTGTGGCCCAAACTGTAGGCAAAATAGCGGCACAACAGCCAAGCCAAGACTCAACTTTACTTGTAACCTGGACAGGAATTCTGAGTTGACTTCGGATGGGGCCAAAGACAGGGTTCAGTCAACATTCCGTATAGGGTCTCGATATCTGCGCAATCTTGGCCTCTCGAATGCCTCATCATCAGACTCGGCCCGACTTGGAATCACGAACTTCCATTCAGCCTGAAGACTGGGACTGCTGTTCCCAAAGTCCAGAAGAGATTCTGAAGTTGGACGATTTATCTGCCGTCTCAATAGAAGCCAAGTCTATTTCCAACCAAAACAAGTATCTCTCATTAGGTCTATCAGATGCAGTATCAAGACATTGCGGCAAAGAATCACGATACTTTATAGGCGAGGAAATTAAACAGTGCTCGGCAATCGGTCTTCAACATTGCAGTTTGTCCATTAACACCAAAATGGTATCTTTTGTTGGAGTCGTCTCTATAGTCGCTCAAAGCATAAGGCTTTGTTTTGCCTCTCCTCAATAGTCTTTGAAGTTATTTTTCTTACGATTCGAGACAATTTTGCATCCACAAAATAGCACTCTTTTGTCTATTCTCAACTCAATACCATCAAATAATCTGCTGACAGCAATAAATCTACGTAGGAACTTTAGTAATCATAGGCCGATTGAGGTGCTCTAAATACTGAAACCACAATCAAATGACTAGACCTAATAAGACAATTGAGTTTCACATGATGCTTTCTTATCCAGACTGGACTGGACGAGTCTCAACCTCGCCTAGGTCCCATCCGCTTCCTCGTCAAGAGTAGAAACCGGGCCGTGAGTGCCGTAATGAAACGTTACCGTTCCTCTTCACATTGCCATGGTTTTCAGTGGGTATGTGGTAGGCCAGAAGTCTCAAATTCACATTAAATGTATGAGTGTGGAAATGGTAAATATGTATTTGCTATTAAAATTAACGATACTACTTAATTTATATCCAAGTAGGCTTCACAGATGTGAGTACTTTTTCAAGAAGAATTCTACTCACACTAGTTGGCCTGAACGAGGTCGAAAATATGGTACAGCCTGGATTAGAATTCCTTTTTGGAGGTAATGCAAAATGAAACTAAATTGAGTCATGAGACCTGCTATTTTCATCGTGGAATACTCTCCATTATCGGCACTTAAATCACCCTAGTCGGCCAAGGGTGACTCAAATTCTTACTCAAGAATCGCTAAAGGCTTCTAAGTATGTTCCCATAATAAAGGGCCATTTATGCTATTTTTCGTATTTAAGTAGAGTTTCGAGACTACCAGTAACGATACTCTTTCAACGGTGACTCAATCGAACAAGCTGGCAGAGGAGCCCATCGATACAGTGAGTCTGGGGTTTGGGTAGTAGAGGGTGAGAAGCACCAACGTGAGAACCTCGATTCGATATTTGCCAAATTGAACAGGTCTCTTGCTTCCTTCCAATTTTCAGAAGGTAATCTCTTGGCCTGGTTTCACTCCTGTCACACGCATGAAATTGTATGAATGTGATCTTCAAGTATTTTGTGAAGATGCTCTACTTTCGGTGTGTCGGATGAACGCATGGTCAGTGAGGCAAGCAAAGCAAGAGAGTCTCTTGGTTGACATTTTTCGTAGTCTTGTTGAGATAACATGTGATAAGTGGCAGCGAATTCTTCACGTGGAACGGCTTTTAGTGCCATTAAACGTGGCCACCAGAAAAGTAACTTTATCTGACGGGCAGTTTGTGCAATTTGGCTCTTGAAAGTACCGGTTGAAACTCGGAATCTGTGCACCCAGATGAGGCTAATTGGGGACATGTGGTGTGAAAAGTTGATGGCAGTGAGGACAATTGCTTCTTTGGAGAAAAGCCATGTACAATCAAAATGAACATGTGATTTGGGGCGTAGTCTCCTGCTAGTTTCAAATCGGTTCTTAGTGCTCGTCTGTTCGGACAGACATCATCAGAGCATGACAACATTCCAGAAAGTTGGTCACATTGGACATACAAGAAGTAAGAGCCCATCTAATCCCAATGTGAAAAGAGGTGAAGATCTTATCAATGAATCCAATTGCGCCTCGCTTCCAGAGGGGTTCTTCCATCATGTGGGGGCTGCCAAAGAGACTCAAGGGATTAAGGGGAAGTCAATGGCCAGCTTCGTCATGGACAACTCAAATAGAAGACTCTGGATCACTCAAGAGAATTACGTCACTGAATGCTTCTGTAACTCGGTTAGCAGATAGACTCGCCAGTACCGTTTCAGCTACTTTCAATGGCCTTGTAGTAGTTTAAAATTGGAGGTATTATTAATTCGTTTTTGGTTTTCATTTCCCGCAGACCGTATGCCCACTCATATTTAAGGTTAAAGGGATTATCCTACCATTTGGTAAACGCCCTATTCATTTTAGCTTTGTTTGTACAAACTTATTTTCATTACGAACAGGCTTTCTCAATGAAGATGGGCAAACTTTGAGTCCACGCAGAGAATACGTATATTTTCCGGCAGTTGGATAGAAACTAAAAACTCGGCTGTCATTAAGTCAAGGCAGCCATGGCTACCCACATAGTAGTGCACCCATGCAAGCATACTCACATGCACACCTACACACATGGACACACAGAGTTACACAAATGTATGCATACTCTTCAAGCACCCCTTCTGGTCAAAGACTGGCATTTCTGATCGCTTGCACGCGATTTATCGCTCTCTCCTCTACTCGGAGAGTTAAAGTATCACACGCACGACATTAAGCACAGGAGCTTATCTTCTGCAGTGTTGTCCAGGGGGATAAACTCGAATCGTAGTCAAGGCCTGATTTTTATGGGCAAATGTGTAGATTTTCTCGGTCACTCTAAGATTAGCATGACCATGTCGCAGGTAGACATCTGCGTAATTATATGACCTTTCGAGTGAAATGTGGTTATCGCATCTGAAAATGGGTCAGTTTAGAGCAATCTAGTGAGGATAGGCGAAGTCTGCGAGCAGTAACTGGGGCCGGTGCGATGCGCCACTTGCTAGAAACGAGGACAGTCTGTCAAAAGATAGCCGCCTTAAAAGGCCCATCTAAATGGATGAACGTCTTCCGTGACCGGCTGGTACGGGTTCTGCTGCATGGCAGAAGAGCTGCAACTTTCTCGCCGCGTCTCGTTTCGTCTTGCATCCAGAAGATACCCTCCGGAGTGGACTACAACCTCGACTCTAAACTGGGCTGAATGGAAGTGTTCTGCGTCAAGGAAAGCGCTCTCCATTTGATCTCGCGTTTCTCCACCATCCGAGTTCTGGGCCAGGCATGTGTAGCAGTTGATCTCTTGTCTAAATCCTCTGAAATATTCCCATCACCAATTCACATGCGCCAGCCATCTTGGCCTGAACCGGAGGCAAGAATGACTCCCACTTCTGACAGTGTCTTTTGAGGAGTAGACAACGCCGTGCAAATTGTCACCGAGACCCAAAGAAGGCGCCAACAGATCCACCGTCGTGTTCGCGTGACAACAGATACACGAAACGCTCTTCCAGACGCGGCTACACGAACCAACGGTCGGTCCACCTCGAATGTTTGCAGACGACAAGATGAGTTTGTCACATGCTCAAAATGAGCAAAATTAAAAGAGCGGATGACCTACTCGGAGGGTCGGTTGGGTTGAATAGAAGTTGACTTGAGTGGAGAGTCGTAGGTACATGGCACTCGCCTTCTGAACCAGAACCGAGCCCGATGGCACTTAGTGCTAGACGGAGGATCTGTCTGGACCATCTGGTTACTAAGACACTCTCCGTCTCCAATTTCCCGCTAGGCTTGGCAACTAGGCCTTTTGATTTTTTTCCTCCAATAAGCTTCAATGCTTGTCTTCATGGGCATGGTACCAAGGCCTCTCTTACAATTAGTTGTCTTCACAACCATGGCCAAAGCCGCAATTACGGAACATGGCCAAGCTGTGTCAAGAGAATGGACACGACACTTTTGTGGGCGACCATCTCCACTCGTGCTGGGAGCTAATACCAACAGGTTCAATCTGGACCTGGCTGATGGCGATCCTTTTCTCTATCCTTTTTATGTGGTTGTTGCTGTATCATATTTATTTTGGTAAGGCTGTTGCCGATACAAAAGCAAATTTCGAGTATCCTTACTTTAATTGGCCATAATCTTCAACTTTGCTTGACCTGGAGAATACTACTCGTCAGGCTACTGCTTGGTTTGGATGTGGCGGCACCCCAATCAAGTAAACCATTCAAGGCCAGCATTATCCGATCCCCGCTAGTCGAGTCCCACTGGCGATGGGGCAGATTGTCGTAGTCCAGGCATAGTCTAGTTTCTTTGTAACGTTGAAATGAAGTACCTGCGGAAAGTGGCAGTAGTTTGGCGAATGAGGAGGGAATTTGAATGGAGTTTGTTTGATGCTGCTTTTGGTTATAACCATGCCAAATAATTTGTCTATACCTTCGCATAGTCTAGCCTTAACTAAACCACTTGTTATCTGCTCCAGTTCCATTTTTGTGGGAATAGTTCAATCTTGACGCCAGTTAAGGATACAGCAGCTTGGTATTTAATGCATTGTGTAAAGTAAGAGTGTTCAACATCGAATGGGATAACTTTACAGAATACAAGTTTCTTGGTTTTCGGTGATGACAATTGGTACCATATGTACACTTCAGGTACGAGGTAAATTTAAGTATCCATGACTTGGTTGGTCTACAAATGTTGAGATCACTTTCCTTTCGAGTGAAATGGGCGAGGAAAGGATTCATAGATCGACATAACCAGAAGTCGTACACATTTAACTGAATGTGACGCGTCACTCCAGCATTTTCCTAAAATTACTTGAGCGATTCGAGTAGTTGAACTGTGTTCGTGTGAATTACAACAGCATTCTCCCCGCCACAATTAAACTAGGCTCATCCTGTAGCAGCGGTTTAAGAGAGCCCGAGTGTTCCGCTTGATGCTCAGCCTCCGACGTCTTGAATACTTTGCATGCGAATGAGCAAGACCATTGCTGACCGCATTGACACTTTTAGATGCCTTTACAAAAGCCATGATGCAACTTTCTCGCATCGAGAAATGAAAATCTTTTGATTAATCTGCAAAATTTCTCGAACAAATGCACTCATTTTGAGCTACTCAACTGGCACTTTGATAGCCAAGTGTTCCCCGAATCCTGACTCACATCATCAAGAAAAGGGTTGCTTAAAGCCAGCAACCATTGCTATAGGCGTCGTTTGTCTGTTTACAACTTTTAACAAGTAAAAGAACAGAACATGAACTTGACAAGTAACTCGAAATTCATTAAAGCATAGGAGATGTGAGTCCAATTTAAAGCATAGTCATTATTTAAAGCGAGTTGTGAATTTGATATAAATTCTGCTACAAATTGGGCAGTCATATTGCGCCATGGTATTATTTGCATGGGATAGGTTGTTTGTTCGGTAGGCCTCTTCGACGTTGATGCTCATAGGCGTCAGAGTGAGTAAAGTCTTAGCAAAGCGGAAGCTGAGGGATTGCCACAAGCAAGGTTGCTTTATCATCGAAAGTAGACCAGTGCATTCAAAATGGAGTTTAGGTCACATGTCCTCTTGCAGACAATTGCTCTCATCACAAAATGTCCCTGCCTATCTTTGACCAATCGGTCGTCAAGCTGAAGGGAAGCCTTGAACGCAGAAGTTGATCGAGATAGTTGATCTTTTCAGCTCATAGAAACGTTGAAGCGAAAACGGTCCTCCAAGATGAGAGGTCCTCAATCAAGTTGATAAGCTCTGATCGTACTTCCAAAATAGGAATTTTTGTATGGAGTTGGCTATAAGTGATCAAGTGTATAAAGACAAACTGGGTTTTGGAGAGTTCCTTAATAAAATATTGTGGCATGACTCTCCATTTCAAAGAAAAAGTTGGTTGGAAGGACTTCGTGATGTCGCGTAAGGAAGACTGTTGAGTTGTGCGAAGAAATCCTCGGCTTACCATCCTGCGACCCCGATGAAATTGTGCTAAGCTTTCGTCTGTACCACCGTGACAGACATCATCAGAGCAAGATTGCATACTTTTCGGAATAGAGCAAAACTATACCAAACCAAGAGTAGAAGGTGGCCGGCTTCAACCCCAGCCGCTTTTTTATACACCCAACCCTGCGATCTCAATGAGGCATCACATAATTTGATTGGCGAAAAATAGATCCCATATTAATTCATCTTCTTCTGGTGCCTTTTTTGCATCAGTCCGATAACCTTTTCGCCATTTTGCCTGTCCTTTCCGTAGTTTTGAAAATCATCCGAGGTGAGAATCTGACTCAAATCATGCCTGAGCCTGAATTTAATATATAAAAACGTAAATAATTGTATCCTCTCTACATCATATGTCTCCTCTAATTTTTGCAAAGAAGCTTGATATAATATAGCATTGACTTTATCGTAGTGATATTTTTTCAATTAATTATAATAACTAGGGGGGATGCCATAACGTTTACAACAATTAAGAAAGGTCAAATGATAAGGTTGACTTACGATTGTTTTCTTTATCTGCTTTAAGCAGTGCACTGACTGGCAATCCGACCACCGTAATTAGATCGTAGCTATGAGGACCAAGACAATGCGACCTTCTGTTTGGTCGCAATTACGAATAATCTGGCAGAGGAAACGGGACCACGTACGTTCGAAAATGTCTTCATGACGCTCCGACCAAGTTGCGAAAACAATGGCGAACCAACACCATACGATTATGGCATACGAGGCATCAAGAAAGCACCATGGCAACATGCGATGCTGCCTTGAATTGAGTTATGGCTACTAAGTCTGTGGAGGCGGCATCTTCTCTTTCTTTTGCCCATAAATTTGCTCAGGCAAAGTCATCTTTCAGGGGCCTACGCCTACTCCGACGCCTAATATTCAACCAACTCACGCTACATGCCATACCGACAAAAAGGAAAAAGGCCATGCGCATGAAACAGGATTCACTTCTCATTAGGACCTGCAATTTTACACAAATTTCACACATTTAAAGGCGGCACAGAAGATTCATAAAAGCGAAGCAATCCGGTACTTTGGAATGGATTGCTCCCTACTTTAAGTGTGTGCTATTTTCGCTCAAGTTCATGTCCGACGGCAGTGATTTTTTGTTAATGGAAATAGCCTAGACCAACAGGGACCAATTAATTTGGGATTCGACTGGCTTAATTTCATTTAATGAGATGTATTCACCCTTTTTCGTCTTAGGTGATGAAGAAATGGTAGTAGAATTTTCCCACAATGATATCAGTTGAACTGACGATTCCATTAAATTTCGCATAGTCTTACTTTCCCAAAAGTTGTTTTCGTCCAGACAGAAGTGGACTGCAGTTTCGACCTCGCATCGGTCCTATAAAAACCCTCAGCGGGAGTCGAACCGCGACAGTGAAGGGTGTTGATAAGACCATTGGGATAATCGAACCTGCAGTCCACCCTAGCCGGGACGAGAACAACTTTTGGGAAAGCAAGGCTATGTGAAATTCAATGGAAACGTCAGCTCAACTCA